ATCTAATTGCCCAAATGGGAATCTATATAAAATAACCACCTGTGCCTTTGGCTACATCATAAAAGGATCGTGAAGCTCCACGGAGGGTCTGAGTCTGTTCTCTGTGATTTGAGTCCAGGTCACAGGAGACTTGATTTTGGAAAACTCATTGTTCTTGTTTTTCTTTTATCTTCTTGGTACTCAGCTTTTACGCTGAGAAGCTGGGACGCCTGCAGAGCATAGAACACAGAGTTAGGTATTATTCTCTGGCTGGCCCAATGACTGGAAAATTATGTGGAAGGCTCTAGCCTCACCTGGATTTGTCCTTTGCCTCAGACAGAGGATGGGCTTAATTTTCTTTATATAAAAGACTAAAGGAGAAAGCTGAAATGTCAAACGAAAGGTCCGTTAGGCTTGAGTTCCAGGGTTTTGCCCTTTCTTTCTCCGTCCTCTTTTGAATTAGGCATCAATCCATTCATTCCTGTCCTTAGCTTTATCAGGCTTTTTCTCGTTTCTTCCCCTCCCTAGTTCTGTGTTCTCTTGTTCTCAATTTCTCTCACAAACTAATACTTTTTAGTTTCTCTAGTCATTATTATATCCTAGTGTTAGACTTTCATTACACTTTAACAGTCCATGCTACCCAGGATCATAAATCAATTCCCTTGATAAACTGCATCAACACTCTTGGGCCATAAGGTGCAGGTCTAATGCACTGATTTATAAGCAAAGGCTAAAAGCTAATGGATTCCTAAAGTTACCTACCGCAGAGGACCGGTCAGCAGTTTAAACACCACAACACAGATTCAGTATTAGAGGAGAGTCCTGCCACAAAAAGTCCCTGGTCAGAAGATGTGAATATTTTTGTTACAGTAGTCTCGGGTGAAGGATCAGTGTTGTGCCAAAAGGGGAGTCCTTGATTTGCTTTCACCCAAAACGCCTCACTCTATTATTTACATCACCACTGGGGGTAGCTCCCTATTTAGAAAACAGGAACTGGAATCTGTCTTGAACATATGGTACTTCAAAAGGCTTTTAGAGGAATTAAAACAAACATAATAGTAAAAGAACGAATAGAAAGTATACCAGATGTATTACTGTGTGTGCTAGGTTGCCCCCTCCTCTGTCATTCTCATTCTTGACACCAGCCCTAGGAGGTATCATTTATCTACTGTGTGCTACTCAAACAAGCAAACCTGTAGTTCTGAGATGGTAAGTCCTAACTCAAGGTCACACACCTGTGGAAGTGCTCTATGAACTTCTCATAGTAGTAGCAGGAACACCACTGGATCCAAGCTGACCAGCAGGTAGGCTGAACTCATGCTGGGCAGCAAGCTTAGCCTGTGGTGGCTAAGCAGGGTCCAAGGAACTGTGCTCACTTATGGGTGTCAAACTCCTTTTTGAGTACAGATACTAAAAGGAGATACTTGTCTCCTGCTGTAATAAAATACCAGGGCCAACAGCAACTTATGGAAGGAAGTTTATTTTGGCTTACAGTGACAGAGGGAGAGTCCATATGGTGGAGGAGGCATGGCCGCAGAAACAGAACAAGAGGCTGAGAGATGACATCTGCAGCAGCAAATGCAGAGTGGGGGAGAACGGAGTGGAAGTGGGGCAAGGCTATGTGTTCTGAAAGCCTGCTCCAAGTGATAGGCTTCTTCCAACAAGGCTGTTCATAATGAAGCCCTTGAACATGGGAATAAAATGAGTCAGGTGCATCACTGTGGGGGAGATGGAGAGCAAGTTGAAGAGCCCCCAGGGAAAGTGTATTTTTGTGATCTGTTAATTCAACTTTTCATATTTCTGCTTTGCATAATGGAAGCAGATAATAACACTTAAAACCCACGGATCAGCCCCCCATGCCAAAAATCCTATACAAGGTTATCATTTGTCTTTGGACTTTGTTTAGATCCCTCTTCATTAAACCAGAATAGGCTTATCTCATTACCATTTGAAGAGTGCCTAATGATGTATCCTCAGTAGTGTTGATCCTGCTTGGATCCACTCCTGCTGTCCTTGTTGGGAACATCAAGGCTACCCAGAGAGCACCTGCCCCTTTATTGATTGTTGGTTTTTGTTGAGGAAAGCTCAGAGCTTAGGATCCTTAGGTTGTTCCTGTTTCATAACTTAGTTCAGGTAGAACATGGCTCCTTTCCAAAAACTGGTTCACACAGCTCTTTGCTGGAAAGATAAAGAAAAGCCTCGAGCTGTGGGAATGAACAAAAAGCTGAGCGATCACAGTTACCTCAATTACTTCTTCAGGCAGCTCCTGCAGGAACTGTTACCCTATGACACACAGAACTGGACTTTGATTCCTGGTATTGCTCTGTGTCTTGACTATAGGCTAGCTGGTAGTTGTGTTAGAGCCATGTGTGGAGCTCATAAAGTATAGATTTTTCTAGATTAGGGCAGGGACTGGGAATGTATATTTCTCTTATGTATACACTTGTTTGGAAGCATAGACACGGAGCAGTCTCATAACTTTTCAGTGCTGTGAAAGCAGTAAATTACAAGAATTTTATGTTCTTCTTTTTAAAATTTAGCTTAGTTATTTGAGATAGTCTCACTATGTATCTCTGGCTGGCCTGGAAGCTGCTATGTAGATCTGGCTGGTCTTGACGTCACAGAGATTTACCTGCCTCTGCTTCCCTAGTTCTAGAATTAAAATCAACCTTCTCCCCCAACCCCCACTGCCATGTCTTGGTCTTCCATTTATTTGATGAACCTATAACAGCTCTTGAGAATGAAGATTAAGAGATAAAAAGACACATGTTCCCAAGATGGACAGAGTTGTCAGTCTGGTCAGAAGATAATAAATCGGCCTCTGTAGAACACGAAAATCGTGCAGAATTAATTGAAGTAGAAGTATGTGAAACTTGCTGGGCAAGGGCAGTATCAGGGAGAAACCTTATGGATAGAGGCATGACAAAGAAGATGGTTCTTAGATGAGAGATGGCACTCTGGTCCCATGTTCTTAGATGCCAGATGAACTCGCAAGAAGGCAGTGAGAATATATCTGCCAGGGCCACGGGACCTGATATATAATGAGAACTCCATGTTTATAGTTTTAGCACTAAGCTGAATACAGGACAACACAGGATCAGAATGAGGAGAGACATGGAGGCAGAACTCAGAACAGGTGGGGCTGATAGGTCATGTGTAGTGGAGCTTTGCTTTTGACCACCATGCTGCTTCTTTGCTGCACACGTAAAGTTTTTCTAACTACTTCATTAATCTGTAAGTTTGAAAAATCTGCTCCCGTGATGATAAGACATGATGAAACTTCTTATTCTCATGTAACACCTGGAAGCAGGAGTAAAGAGGTAATTTTCTGTGTCCCACATGGGACCAGAGTGCCATCTCTCATTTTCTAGCCTTAATCACAGCTTTCATTACTGAATCCAGAAGTCAACTGACAATAGGACTTTCTTCTATGAACCTGTCTCCTGTTGAAAGGGAGGGGACAGGGAATGAACATCCAAGTTGTCGTAGAGTTACGTGGTCCTGACTGCAAAGTCATTCTGACCTTGAGCCTGGATCTATATGCTAAGCTCTCTGTAGTGAAGATCATCATCATCTTTGGACACTGAGATGTAGACCTGCATTTTCCACATTGTCCTCATTCCTCTGCGTATAATCCTCCCTGTGTCTCAGTGTATTTTCATTTAGACTTAAGCTCTTAACCAGTGTGAGTAGCCACCCTGCCTCCCTACCTCATGTCATTCTTGAGCATGAAGCTTCTGGTGACTGACTTTCCCCAGCTCTTCAAAGAAACAAATATTCATTTTATCTTGAGGCCTCTGTACATGTTGTCCCTTTGGAAAAAAAAATCCTACATTGCCAGCCCATGTACCTTTTCTTCTTCTTGCTAGAACCCTTCATAGTTTCCACCTACACTAACCTCTCTTCCCTGTGTCCAATGACGCTGAAGCCAATTCTACCTTGTTTTATAGCATCTCTTTATCACTCAACTACACTGTATGTTCCATGAAGGCAGCAACTCTGCTTTCCATGCCTATGCAATAGTAAATAATTATTTGACAAATCAATGAGGGACTAGTGGCTGGCTGACTGGCTGGATGGACAGACAGACTGATGGATGGATGGATAGATGTATGGATGGATGGGTGGATGAAGTTAAAGTCTGCAAGTTGATTTCTTCATCAAATCCAATGAAATGGTAGTCTCTATCCATGCCATCGTTCTATCAGCCAGTCTTCTGAAAGGAGTTTTCTAGTCCATGGCTCAACAAAGGCACAGCTCATAACCTTGTACTCCATTCATTCATTTACTGCAGTCTATGATCTGCAGTACCGGACACTGATTTGATGTTCCTCTCATGTAAGAACACATGTATATATTTTGTGACCAGCGTTGAGCATTTTTCATTGTTCCAATCTCAAATTTCATCCAAGTTGAAGTTTTTAAAAAGACTTTATTTTTCTCATGATGAAAGCAATAGGGAAGTGCATTCATTCTTAGTCAAAGTGTGTCATATATTGTACAAAAAAAAAAAAAAAAAACGACCCTATGAAACTCAGTACTATGTATCATGGATATTAAAAAAGAAAAAAAAACATGAAATACATAAGAGAATGTGAGAAATACCGAATATAATAAAGCAAATATAAATGATACATACTTCCTCCCCTTCCCAAGTTAAATAAGTACAATAATTTTTTTGTCTTTTCCCAAAAATGGTTTTCTTATACATTACAACTTTGTCATCTAACAAAATTGTGATTTAACATGAACTGAGTGTTTCATAAACAACACAGGTCATACAAGTACTCCTAAAAGCCTATGACAACGACAGCTTGCAGACGCAGGAAGTGAAACACTGGAATAAGTTGAATTAGACCTGGCTCCCCAACAAATATACCACATTCATATGTGTAATTCACTGAGCACGCAGCGGTCACTGTGTTCTTGCTAGATGTCTGAAAGAGTGAGCTGGGAACACCTGGGCAAGACGCTTTTCCCCAGGTGCTGTGACAGAGACTCATGTCTTCCTTCTTTTCTAGAGTGACCGTCTTCTAATCAAGGGAGGGAGAATCGTCAATGATGACCAGTCCTTTTATGCTGATATTTACATGGAGGATGGCTTGATAAAGTACGTACATGAAACCTTCTACTTCTTTTCTACTTCCTCTCTGCCTAGGAAGAAGCTTCAATTTCATAAAGTGAATACTCTGAATTTGGTCAAAAGAATTATTCTGAGGGCCCCTTTGTGCGAACTGTACTAAAGAGAACGTCATGTGTCATAGAAGGTTGGATGATGTAACCCCCCTCTTTAAGGATATTGAGAAGTGTGCATGAGTGGCAGCACTCTAACAATGTCACGGTGTCTGTAACAGACTCTAAAGTGAAATCATGGTATTCACAGACTTTAAAAAAACAACAAACAGGTAAGGCTTTAGATTAAAAAAATACTTAAAAGTGAACTTGATGAAAATGTTAAATCTTAAAAGAGCAGGGTACAAATAGTACATACATTTCTGGCATATTTTACAAGTACATTCGTTAGGAATCTACAATTTTTCTGTAGAATAATTTGCTACTGAAGAAGCTGTTTATAAGTTTTTTTAAAATAGTAAAATTCAGAACAGAATTTGATTACCATGATACTATGTCATGAACAATAGGGTACACCACCATATTGATAAGATGTTGTATATGTCTAGATTATCCAGTTCATCCTGGTAGCAAGGGTACTTGCTAACAGCAAATCATTTGTGTAAAATGGTGGACACTGCTATGTCACATCCTATAGCAGACATTCCGCATGCTCAAATAAGCACCCCTCAGTTATTTGGAGACCTTATATTTTAACAAAGACTATAGGATCCAGCATTAACAGCTAATAGCAATATCAAGTACTGAATAGAAGGCTAGATGGAATTCAGAGGGAGCAATTGTTAATTATAACAGCTCATATTTATTGATCCCCGATGTACTTAATAGCATTTTGTGGGCTTAGTAGGAATTAACTTTAATCTACACAGCTCCGTTGAGGAGTTATTACATTTTATAACCAAAAGAATTAGGGCATGGTGAGATTAAATAGTAACTTGGCCATGGCTAGTAACTAGCAGAGCCAAGACTACAAATCCAGGTAACCTACATCTGGAGCCCACAATCACAGGTTAGACGCGGCTTCCAGCAGAAGAATGACTAAATGAGTGGATGGAAACTGAGCTATTAGAGATTACTATGGTCTTAATTTAGTGTGTTGGAGAAAAGTGAATGGTGTATTTCTGCTTCAGATAAGGTATTGCACTAGTTTTAAAAATGAGTGAAAAAATGTACATAAACATGTATAAACACACATGACTTATGGGCCCATGAATTCTTCACCTTCTTAGTTCTCAATTTCTTCTGGAGGAAAAACAGGAACTGAACTGGGCAGAATCTGGACTACAGCAGAATTGCAACCAGAGGCTGTATTTCTTCCACAATGTGTTTCGAATTGTGGTGACCCTGGAGTTGTCCCCATGGTGATGTGGTGAAGCTCAACTCTTAGGTACATCAGGGACACATTAGCTGTGAACCTAGAGTTTGCCAGTCAGTGGTGGACTTTTTATTTCCCCAAGAGAATCTTTTTGGCTGTGTGCAGAAGAGAAAGCATTCATACCACAAACAGTGGGGCCCACTTGAGCTCTAGAGAGGAGATAGTAAGTGTCAATAGAAATTGTGAATCCTAGGTGTGCCACGGGCACAGGCTTGACCAGATAGATGCCTAAATCAAAGTTAAAGAAAAAAAAATTCAAGCAATGTTGCAAGCAGAGAACTGCAAACAGCATTGTGAGAGATAGTTATCACCTTCTCCTGAGGTGCGCCTTTGAAGTACTCATTGAGTTCCTCCCCTCTGGCTCTTCCCCACTCCCTCCCCGATGCTCTGAAGCTTCCTGGGTCCCACTGCATCTTAGGGAGATTGCCATAATCGCGCCTCTTGGTTTGAAGTCTCTATTGAGACACAAACAGTACAGAAGCAGTTGGTGGGGGAGACACCTGTATGATTGACTCTTTCCTTGTGAATATGCAGCGAGGCACCATCGGCTGGTCAGGGAAGGGTGAAATAGTAAAAAGGAGCCTAAGGTGGGAAATGACTCAAGCAGAAGCCTTTGATGAGGGCACAGAAAACATGCTTAGGAGATGACTAACTTCCCATACCTGTTGTTGTACTGAGTCATTATCTTCTTTTGTTGCTCCTAATAGTCATATTTCACACTCCTCATAGCATTCCCCAGAATTATCCCACACCATTAGAAAGAAGAAAACCGACTGAAGGAAGCCATGAAAATAATTATGTAGAAATATCAGTCACATGCTGTACTCTAGACATCAGAAATCCATAGATTTCAATACCAAACGACAATACATAGTCCCATGCAGATAATATTGTGTCAATAAAAACAATTTTGTATACTCACCTATCTACCTTGTTTGGAAACAACAGGACTTAAGTGACTTTGAAGAACCAATGCTTGTCTTGAGATTTGTTCTTTTTAACTGTCAGTTGTTCCACTGTCTCGCCAGGCAAATTGGAGACAATCTGATTGTCCCTGGAGGTGTGAAAACCATCGAGGCCAATGGGAAGATGGTGATCCCTGGAGGCATTGATGTCCACACTCACTTCCAGATGCCTTACAAGGGAATGACCACAGTGGATGATTTCTTCCAAGGGACAAAGGCTGCCTTGGCAGGTGGCACCACCATGATCAGTAGGTCCTCAGGGCAGACAAATCCCTTGCATAATCCTGACACCACACACACCTGTCTCAATTTGGTTCATGGGATTTATGTTCCTGGCGGTGGGAGAAACAGAGCAGAACTGCCAGCTTCCTGTAATTACACAAAGGAGATCCATGAGCCTCATGGCCCAGAAAGCAACCAAGAGAAAGATAAGTCAGTGAGAACAGTCACTGAGACTGACAGTTCCTGGGAGATTAGTGGCTCTTGGTGAACTTAGTGCCATTTGGTCCTTTGCTGTGTTTTGACCACGTTGTATCCTTGAGATTAGAAAAGCTGTGAGTGGTTTCCTTTATTTATTTTTGTTTTGTTTTGTTTCTGGTAACTACTAATTCTAGAGAAACTCAGGAAATTGCATGCCATTGGATTACTGAACTGATAACATTTCAGGCAGTCCTTCCTGTCTCAACAAATTGGGTGCTGGCCCAGAGCTAGCCTCAAACTTGGGAGACAGAACAGTGCTTACTTAACATCCGATCCCTCTACCCACAGGCACAGAGCAGCCTGAGCCAGAATTACAGTGTGTCTCAACCTTTCTTTTGACTGAACCGCTAGCAGGGTTCAACTTTAACTAGGATGTGGAAGCCCAGAAAACTTGCAGCCAGGCCATAAAAGGTGCAGTTCAGGGAGCCCTGAGTCTTTTCCCCAGCTGACGGGAGGAGCCAGCTGACTTCTCAGCAGCTGTCTGCCCAGGAAAGCCCTAATGTCCTGCAGATATTAGTAATGTAGCTGGATGCATTTACTTTCTCCTCAGTGCACTTGTGCTCCTTTAAGGGAGGAAGTGCTTGCTCTTGGCTTTGGCTTAGCCGGCTGCCATCTCAGCCGGGAATTGCGCCTGTTCTACATGCCTGTAAATTGTGCCTGTTCTACATGCCTGTAATGTTCCATATACCTGGCCTTCTATGTTAGTGAAGGAGCAGAGGGAAAATGAGAGCTCTAGGTGAAAAATAAAGCTGACCGGAAGCCACAATAACTTAGAAATGCTAGAGGTGCAGAAAGCAAAGGAGCCCAGCAACCCTACTTCACTGTTAGAGCTGGCTACTGTGCAGTTTCCAATTTAACAACTGTGGATCGTCCTATTTGTGCCTGATTTCAAGGTGCCATTTTTTACTAAGTCATAGACCATGAATGTCTTTCCATTCATCTGTTCATATTCTATCACTGCTTTTTAAAATAGATGTCTCTCATCAGTCTGTGAATGTGTCTCTATGCTTTTAGTTAAACTTCTCAATTTTTTCAACTTGAATTGCTTCCAGTTTTTATTTACATAAATGCATTAGCCATATACCCTAGAAACTAAATATTGCTGACAGCCACTACTAATTTTCCTAGATACAATTTTTAGGCATGAGAATAGTTATTGAGTCAGGTCTGAAAATGTCCAGGTTTTTGATATCTATTTCAATGTCATTCTCAGGGTAGTTGAACCAATTTTACACTTTACCTTAGATACCTATGGGGCAACGGTGAGAGTGGAGTTTTTGCCTAATCCTTATGATAACAACCACAGTTAGCTAAAATATCTACGGTTGCAGGGTGACTAACAGTAGTTATCCCATGAGGATCCTGTAAAAAGTGAAGTTGCAGGGAAAAGAAACTGTGAGTTTGACCACAGAGAAGCTAGTTCTGGTTGGCCAGTTCAGGGGCTTCGGTCGCTGACGCCTGTCATGTATCTAGAACAACTTCTTCTATCCAGATACACAACTTTGCTCATTAACAGTGACTCAGCCCCAGCAGTCACAGCGTATAAAGCAGGTAGTCATGACGCATTAACACTTACTGACCACTTAGTCTGTGCCAGCAATCAGGGAGGCACTTGAACTGCATTTTATCACTTAATCATACAGCAAACTCAGATGGAAAATACTACCATACCCGCTTCCCCAGTCTACTTAAGATCCATGGTAATAAGAGAAAACTGAAGTTTCAGAAAGCTAAGCACTTGTCGAAAGTTCTGAAGTTAGGTATTTAAAGCACCAGTGTCATTGAAGCCGCCAAGGAGCAGAGGCTGTACAGCCAGAGCTGAGCAGGAAGGAGGGGGAAGGGAGCCAAGCTGCTTCTGAGTCACGCATTTTGAGCTCTGTCTTTCAGTTGACCACGTGGTCCCTGAACCGGAGTCCAGCCTGACCGAGGCCTACGAAAAGTGGCGTGAGTGGGCCGATGGGAAGAGCTGCTGTGACTACGCTCTGCATGTGGACATCACCCACTGGAATGACAGCGTCAAGCAGGAAGTGCAGAACCTCAGCAAAGACAAAGGTGAGGCCGAGCGTGCTCTCCAGCCTCCTGTTTCCCCACCGCCGTGTCTGTCTTTCCCACAGTGTCCCACTCACATGAGTCACTCCCCTGGTTTAGAACCTGCTACCTGAGGCACGAGCGCTGAGTGTGGGGCTTCAGGTCTGTCTCAGGCACTTCATGTTTATGCAACTTTACTTTTCACAGGATCCTCATGTGAAAAACACTGTCAGTCACTCTGCAGACGGAAAAGCAGAGCACTAGTCGGTCTGCCCAGGGTTACATGTAGTAAGCAGTCACCCAAAGATGATGTTTTTCACTTCCGTGAATGTCTTAGGTTTCTGTTGCTGTGATTAAACACCACGACAAAAAACAGTTAAGGGAGGAAAGGATTTATCTCACCTCATTGCTGGTAGTGAATTACTAAAGGAAATCTGGACACAAACTCAAGTAGGGCAGGAACCTGGAGGCAGAAATGTCGTACAGAGCTCAAAGAGGTACCGCTTACTGGCTTGCTCCTCATGGCTTGCTCAGTCTGCCTTCTTAGAGCACCTAGGGCCACCAGCCCCCGGATGGAACTGTCCACAGTGAGCGGGCTCCTCCCACATCAACCAGCAATCAAGAGAATGCAGTACAGGCTTGCCCACAGGTAGAGGCATTTCCTGAGTTGAGGTTCCCTCTTCCAAAATACTATAGTTTGAATCAAGCTGACAAAAAGACTAAAAAGCACAGTGCATTATGGCTAGTTTTATGGAGGAAGAAACTGAGGCGAGATGACTGATCCTCCATGAGTCACATTGCCAACAAATCTGAGAGCAAAGATTTCTAACCCTGTTAATATTATATAATAATTGCACCTCAAGAAAGGCTAAGCCATGCCAGGAGCAAGGATAGACTGATTCTCTGGTTAGGATTGAAAAAATGTAGTGTGTGTGTGTATGTGTGTGTGTGTGTGTGTGTGTGTGTGTGTGTGTGTGTACATGTGTGTATGTGTGTGTCTGTGTATGTTTGTGTGTGTGTCTGTGTTTGTATGTATGTGTGTGTATGTATGTATGTATTTGGTGGAGGCTCTCACTTTGATGGTGATTTCAGTTGCATTATCTTCTTAGATTCTTCTGGCCTCTGTTTCCTCCTATGTTCAGATCATCAGAAATGTAACACCCACAGGAACACATATACATATGCAAGTCTGTGTATATCTGCACACGTACATATGTGTGCTCAGTTTTGTAAGGCGATCTAGGACATCAGTGATGGGTGAGCAACAGCCTCTGCTGAAGGCTCAGTACAGAGGAAAGCAGCGCAACACAAGGCAGCAGAGCGGATGCTCAGAGCGCAAGCCCTGTCTGGTCACTGCGAAAACTGGAGCCGAAAGTCGGGCGCCTGTGTTGGAGCAGAGAGGACACTCCCCCACAGGATGCAGTTTCCTTTCTCTCCCTTGCTGCACCCCAAAAGTCCAGCCCAATTCTGAGAGCATTAAACATGCGATCAGCCCCTCCCTCTTTCCCTGGTGCCTGTCACGCGGCATCCTAACCGCAGTAGAAAATTCAGTGGCTTCAAGGAGCACACAGGGCCTGGGTCATTCGGAGGATGACTTCGGAAAGAGGGAAAGCTGTGGAAAACTGCCCTGACCCACGCTGAGTAGGGACATTCTTGAACTATAATCCACTTTTGGCTGGGGAAACTGTGGGCTGAACTGACCCTAATGGTTAAACCTCAAAATTATTTTCTGTTCCACCGTTCCACCTACCTATTTATTTTGGATGAGAATCAAATGCACCATTTCCTATAATGCTGATGACTCAAGTATTTAAATCCAAGGCACTGATTTCAAGGCATAAGTTGTTATCTGTTCCCATCCGATCTGTTAGTTCACCGAGGCCAGGTTTTATATCTATTTTTGCTCCTACATTTGAAATGTAGATAGTGTTGTGTGAAAGATTCATTCTTCAAATCGGGTGTCTTAGTCAGTGTTCTTTTGCTGTGAAGACACCATGACCACAGCAACCCTTATGTAAACAAACAAGCAAACAAGAACATTTCACTGGAGCTGGCTCACAGTTTCAGAGGTTTAGTCCACTATCATCATGGCGGGAAGTATGGCAGCGTGCAGGCAGACATGGTGCTGCAGAGGTCGGTGACAGGCATATGTCTGAATCTGTAGAAAGCAGGAAGAGAGATGCAGCTTAGGATAGATTTGTCATTCATTAAATAGTGACATAAACCCATCCCCATGGAGACCAAATGCTTGCCTCACAGGGACTAAAGACCTTTAAAAGTGTTACCTCCTTCAGTGGTGAGCTACTCCCTTATGAGAAGTCGGTCCCAGCTCATTGTGGTGTACTCTGCATCCCGGTGTTACAAACCCTCGTGTCTGTGCCCAGCTGGTATGCTGGCATACTTTCTCTGGTATCTGCTTCCTTTGCTTTGAACAATATCAAAGTTGCTGACCTTCTGAACTGCAATGCCGGGAATCAGCATCGGCAAAGGATGCGGAAGAAGACCCCGTTGTGCTGGGAGACCACTTACAAAGTATGGATTTTACAGAGCAAGAGAGGGCATGCATGATTAAGATGAGGCATTCAGAGTGTCTCTCTTCTCTTTGGGTAGGCACCCAAGCAATGTGATCATGGCCTGTGGATGATAGGCCTGAGAAGGTGATGGTGATAATTAATACTGTTTTTTTCCTGGTTTTCTTCCATTTCTTGTCTTGCAGGCGTTAACTCCTTCATGGTTTACATGGCTTACAAAGACTTATATCAATTGTCCAACACAGAGGTAACACCCCATTTGGCTGTGTGGTTAGGATTGTCTGCATGGGTTTCCTACTGTTGTTGATGACCTTGGTCCTTGGAACATGAGTTTCTGTGGTTACTGTGGGAGGCCACTGCATCAGGCTGTATACTGAAGCCCTTGCAGCTCACACTGCATTTTAAAGTTTATGGGTTGGGTACCTATGGCAAAGCAGATAGAAGCTTGAATTTCTACTGGCAACAGTTGTCCTAAAGAATAAGAGGAATGCCACTGTCTCCAAACATCTCCCAAACTTGGAGAAAATGTGGAGGTCTCTGCCTCACAATATCAGATGGGATCCCTGCTATTTGTACCAGCTTGGCCGTCACTACTGTAGCAGTTTGCCTTTCCTTAGAAAATCATGAATGTGTGTGATTTTTGGTAGATCTGAACCAACCAGGGGAAATGCAAATAGTTACTTTCTTGGTGGAGAATAAGTGTAAGTTTGTCTTGAGAGTTCAGAGTAAGACCTTGAATATATGTGTTAAATTTGACCAGGCCTTTAGGGACTTTAGGAGCACTTAGGTGTTTTTGTTTGTTTGGGTTTTTTTTTTTTATTAGATTCATTTATTTATTATTTATACAGCATTCTGTCTGCATGTGTGCTTACACACCAGAAGAGGGCACCAGATCTCATTATAGATGGTTGTAAGCCGCTATGTGGTTGTTGGGTATTGAACTCAGGACCTTTGGAAAAAGAGCCAGTGCTCTTAACCTCTGAGCTGTCTCTCCAGCCCCTGAAGCACTTGTTGAAAGAATTCTGACACCATGTCTCAGCTCAATAGGAAATTATTTCATTAGAGATGGATGCCAGAGAGAAGGCTTGATAGAGATCAGTCCTGTCTCTGTGTTAAACCCTGACAAGCCTTTCATAGAGACAGGGCCTCCTCCAAAGTCTTTGGACTACATTCCTCTCTGTTTTGTTTTGGTTTTTGTCCCTTCCTTCCTTCCTTCCTTCCTTCCTTCCTTCCTTCCTTCCTTCCTTCCTTCCTCCCTCCCTCCCTCCCTCCCTCCCTCCCTCCTTCTTTCCTTTTCTTTTCTTTTCTTTTCTTTTCTTTTCTTTTCTTTTCTTTTCTTTTCTTTTCTTTTCTTTTCTTTTCTTTTCTTT